GTGGTGGTGGTGGTGGTAGTGCTGGTAGTGGTGGTAGTAGTAGTAGTAGCAGCAGTAGTAGTAGTAGTCGTCGTCGCGCGGTCGTCGTCGTTGTCGTCGTGGTCGACACCGTCGTACGACATCGTCGTAGAAGCTGTGGTAATGGTAGTGGTCGTGGTGGTGCTAGTACCTGCTACAGTAGTAGTAGTAGTAGTAGTAGTAGTAGTAGTAGTAGTATAGTAGTAGTAGTAGCCGCATCACCATAATATCATTACCATCACCGACCACCATCACCATTTGCATCATATACATGATCATCGCAGTCATCCACGTCTGATGTATCACCAGCAACAACATCGTTCTTTCTTCGACGGTGTGCACACGGAGATCGGGGTTTCAGCAGCAAATCTTCGCAATTGTAGGAAATGTCGACTGTCGACCTCCGAGCTGATATATTAGGTTTCGACATGTTGAGATTTGAACACGGATGCTTGAAGGGAGCAGGGACTGCGAACAATCCTGAAACAAATCATGAGCCGCCTTTGCGCTAGAATCTGCAATGCCGCCCACCCGACATGATTGACCTATGGATGCGTCCGTGATTCGTCAGGCAAATCATCAGAGCAATTAGCATCATCAACAACAAAGCATCACTACTCTACCCCCTCCCCGCCCCCACTGCTACGAAACGAGCACCGCTGTCGCGACTGCAGGCATCCCAGCAACAAAAGCAGCGGCAATGCATAATCACGATGATCAACATCATCCAGCTTGACAATGAACAATATCTCACATCTAGACCATAAACTCTTCAAAACGATGGTAGCCACGAAGACCGGAGAGACATGTGGCATCAGTCGTCCTTTGCATTATGATCATAATCATCATCATCATCATCAGTATCACCACCAGCGTCTTCGTCTCCGCCACCATCATCACCAGCTCTTGCCCTATCATCAGGGTCATCATCATCACCGTCATCATCATATCAAGATAATCATCGTGATAATCAAAAGCATCACTCGCAGCCCCGTATGCCCTGCTAACATCGTCAGCCACCACTGTTAACGGCAGCATGGCAGCAACGTCACATATGCGAACAGTAATAAAAGATGAAAAAGAAGTTTTCATGCTAATAAGTCATCAACAGCGGCATCATCAACATAATCACCAATGGCATGGTGATCATCGTCATCTACTTATTCTTCCTCCTCCTCCGCCTCCTCCTCAACATCGTCGTTATCATCATCTTCATCATCATAATCATCATGAACATGAACAACATCCTCACGAACATCATGTTCAACATCATTCGGGCGTAATCAGCAGAAATACATTCAACAGTTAACTTCGCAATGTTGATTCTGAGTTCTTTCAGTTTCGAACTACTCCGATTCTCGTACATACCCGCAAAAGGTTGCTGGACGTTTGGGAGGGGGAAGCTGTGTCCATTTTGTTTTGGGTGGGGGGGGGTGGGGAGAGCGGAGCGCTGGTATTTCACACTGCGCGCATGCACGATTACACATGTTGCCTGCAAGACTGCGCACCTGTGCACTTGTAGGACTGTCGGTTTCGACAACCATGTGCATACTAACTGAAATATTCTGACGCTGTCATATCTTACGACCATGGCTGCCAATTTTTCAGCCCAGCCGGAAAGAACTTCACGACTACAAGTTTGCATGATAGCTCAAGATGATGGTGCTTGATTTGGATCACCATGGTTTATGGTTCGGGGTATATGGTCTGAGCAACAGAAAAATTTCATGCTTAAGACATGCGAGACACATGCACATCCAGAGGGCCCGCCGCTTCTGCGGCGTGAGGACATGGGCTTTGTTGACCTGTGAAAGCTTCCAGGATCTTGGTGCCGGATAGTACAGCTAGGCTAAGTTTGTTCGGTTGGGCACAGGCAGGTGCTGTAGAGGGTGCAGACCCCATCGGTTCATCTTGACCTGCAGAACTTTGGACTAGGTTCATCGAAGATTCGAGACATGTCACGCCAACGCAAAACATAATTACACTGTCCAGATAAAGATCCTCGTGACGATGAAGGCCACGAAGAAGGATTGATACTGGCAATAATGATGGCTCCAATGTGAGACTTGACGCGGATAATGATACCTACGACTACGATGGCGGTGGGTGAATTGATACTGACGCCATCAGGCTGACTTGTGCTGCAGCTGCTGCGGAGAGAGCATCCTCGAAGTTTAACCTTCGCACAAAGTCCGCGGTCCGAGGCTTTTGAAAACCTGAGTGTGGGAGTCGAGCCTGTCAACAGATCTCTGGTCAGAAGATTCGTTGAAAGAGGTCGAACACACAAAACAGAGATGCTAAATCTTCTTCTGCTATCAAGCACGGCTAAGCATGCGGGGGGTCTCGAGCTGAAATTCCTTTCTGGGACTGGGACCTTGACGTCCATGGAGCGGATGTAGCTTGCGGCTTGGGCCACAGACATTGCACCGACCTTGGGCTCCTGCGCTGGTGAAGAGGGTCGCTGGGGGGGGGTTGATTGAATTTCCAGGGCTCCTTGCTGGCCGTTTCCTTGCTCATGCCGAAGGCACTGGTGATTCCGTTGAGCATGTTGCCTGCACGATCGTGTCAACCCACTCCTTTCCAAAGTCCAAAAGTTTCGAACCGTGGAAACCACAACAGCCAATCTCGGCTAGAGGATGCTCCGATGGGTGCTGGATCTCGAGTCGCGGGTGGGGCTTCTTGTTCAGGTGCAGGTTGGCTGACGGTCTGTAATTCGCATGCGGTCGCATAGAGAAACCTTCAGGCACAAGATGACAGCATGGAGCAGACTGCTATCTGAAAATCATGTTGATCTGGTGAACTTGGAGAAGAGACTGTAGGTGGATGCAGTTCGTTTTCTGGTTCCGGGTATGATCTTGCTTGTAGTACATTCAAGCCGAAGACCCGGAACCATGTAGTCACAGCTGGGGCTTCAGAAACCGACTAAAGCCGCAATCACCACCATCTTGAGCACTGTGCACATCCCGATTCCCAAACCGAAGCCCTGACCCAAAAAAGTGCACCACTTGCGGCCGTTGCGGCTTACTGCACGACCTGCGCCCTGGAGACTGGAAATGCTGCCTCAACAGTTCAATCGGAAGGTTTAATTACGGTTCAAGCGTCTGACGAAACGATTTGTGTGAAAGTTCAACATCTCGGTTGCAGAGCTGGGAACGGCCCTGTGCGAACGGCCTCTGCGGTGGAGCACATCGGGAGTGGAGCTGGCTGGGTGTGCTTTCAGCCGATGTAAATGTGCAGGTCCCCTCGTCACATGAGCCGCAGCTTTCCCGAATGGCATGATTCAATCGGCAACTAGTACCGTAGCCTTGCCAGAACGGAGCCTGCAGTTGTAGCTGTCGCAGGGGAAAAGCGTACCACTTCCCTCGTTCATCCGTCAGAAGTTCAATAGGATTCCGGATTTCGGGCTAAAGCACCAACCTCGAGTTATTTCAACCCAGATGGCTGTGGCACCAACACGCAAGCAAGTGATCAAAACAAACAGCAACAACCAACCAACCAAAGAAACAAGAAAGCAAGCATGAAAGCAAGCAACCAAACAAACACACACACACGCGTATATGTATATATATATACACACACATATATATATATGACATATATATATATATACAAGCACGTAAAAAGGTATGTGTGTATGTGTATATATATATGTACACATCTACATATGTACATACATACATACATACATACATACATACATACATATATATATATGTATATATTGATCTAAATTGCTTCATCCCGGATGACCTTCTTGACGAATATAAAACCAACTTTTGCGCCACCATCGCGGAACTTTCGCGAAGGCATATCTACATAGCTTTGCAAATTAGAACCCTGAGTTATAAGCGCTTAGCGTCGCGATGACAGGTTGTTACGGGCATTATGATTAAGAGCTTTTGGCAGGCTCCTAGGCGTTTCAGGGCTGTGTGAAAGCTACAATACTTGGAAACGGCTGGTTCAGGCAGTCCGAAGCCGTCTTGGGGTGTAAGTCTTGACAAGGTTTCTTGAAAAAATCTCGATTGCAAAGCTTTTGGTGCTTCAATCGGTTGAGAGTTTCTGGGGGCCTTTCCCACAAGCTTTAGGGCTTTTGAGGCCGTTAGACGGGCTCTCGTACCAACGGAGGATTGAAAAGATTTCTTCATGGAGCTATTCCAGGAAGATAGGCCAGGTAAGTAGCCACCTACCATAGGCGTCGATAGACCCCTATATAGACCCCTATGCCTTTTCCATAGGCCCCTATGCGATTTCACTGCCGAACCCTGCAAGGACCCCTATCTATAGACCCTGTTCGGTTTCCTATAGACCCCTGTCAATAGACCCCTATCGGATTCGCATAGACCCCTATGCATAGGCCCCTGTGTTTTGTCCG